ACTTCTGGGCATAGTTAGGCTGCTGTAAAGTCTGTCACCATGAAAAAAAAAATTGTATTGGTCGATTTATTCGATAATTATGGACGATTCTTAAATGAGCTATTTAGTGTTAAAGACAAGGAGAAAGAAGGTTAGTTTTGAATTTAGCCTGTTTATTAAAGGTGCACAGGTTAGGGCTGGGGGATAGAGGTGGAAACTACAGAATACAAGGTTTCATTTTAGTTCATATCAATAATCATAATGACCTATTTTAAAGAACTACCAGCAGAAAAAAGGCTGAACTTAACTATAATTTGTCACACTTAAAGCAAATTAGCAAACCGATGTAGAAATATTTTTACAGAGAAGTGCTGTTTTTGAAAAGTGCTTCGAGCCCAGAACAGACACTTTGTGAACTCACAGCACATGTTGAGCAATGCAGTGCTACTGGGTGGCTTCTGTCCTTTGGTGTTTGGCTGTTTTCTCATTAAGAACAAGTAGTTAAGGTGACACAGGCTCTTTATTCTCACTCTTGGTTGGAGCAGTTTTCCTGCACAGTTTCCAGACAGCAGGTCTCAGTTAAGACTTTAAAAATAAAAACAAAAAAATGCCGTACTGGCGAGCTCATCTGTCCCTTTTGAAACTACAACGTCCTCTTCGTCTGTACACGTTTTCTCACTGTGTCACTCATAGCTCCGTCATTAGGGATATAATTGGATGTTTAGGAGCCAGCCAAGGAGCATATCTGGTGTTTGTTTATGCAACCAAACTTGAATACAAGTGAAACTAGCATTCTATCAGACTGAGAACTTATTTGCACTGTATTCATATTTTGCATTTATTTCTCTTCTTGTGCACGGTGGGACTCTGAGGAAACAACACTTCAGTTTCTCTGTATGTGCTGCACATGTCGTGATACTGATAGTTCACTTTGACTTTGAACATTTTAATGCCATGTCCACCAATGAATACGTAACATTTTACCACCCAGCCCTCGTCACAACCCAAAGGTTTGCTCTGAGGCAGCAAAAACGCTGATTAAAACTGTAACTTGGCTTCCAAAAGACACACAGTCAGATACAAGACAGATTAAACAGATGAAACAGATGAAACAGACCTCTGGGACGTAGTTGTCTCTCCTTTCTCTCTCCTCCTCCTGCAGCTTGATGGAGATTCCTCTGACTGGACCTCGCTGGATACGTTTCATCAGATGCGTCACGTACCTGAGACCCCAAACACAACGATTACTACGAGAATAAATCTACAACAAAAGGCTCGACACTTGTAGTATAAGTTTGACAGTAAAAAACAGAAATTATCAATAAAAAATCAAAATGTATGAAACTATATATACCAATTACCAATGGCAAAATAACACTCCCACAGTTTTCTATTTAGTGTTATGAGCAAATTAAGACCTTCATTTGGTAACATGATGAGTTATTGTCAACTTTTCTGATTATTCAAAATCTAATTAAATTATAAATATTATGCAGCGTTGAAAAAACTCATTCTTATTATTAGTATTGAGCTGCTAGATCTAATTATGAGTGTTTACTGTGCAACTGCTTTTAAATTCATAACAGAAAGATAAAAGAGAGTGAACATAATGAGAAAGCTTTCAATTAGTACCCACAAGCCATATTCTGTGACCAAAGACCTGCCCAATTTATGATTTTTTTTGTAAAATCAATATAAGCAGACAAAGTCTATCCACTCAGCCACAGCAATCGCTCTGCGGCGTGCCACAATTTCAGTGTTTACAAAAAAAACTATTGAGCTAAACTGCTCCATGTTCAGCACATGACGGACCTGCAGCTGTCCAGGAAAAGCACAACGCTGTAGTAAAGCCTGATCCACGCTGAGGTTCTGTGCCACTTTAATCAAACACATAAACAACCGCAGCACACTAAATGTAACACAAGAGGCCAACAACTGCTCGGTTTCTGCAGCAGGAGTGTTGATTTAATGTTCGACAAAAACCCTCCGAACCGAGAATAAAACCATTAAAGGGGTGCGAATGTTTAATTTAGACGAACGACTGCAGGAAGTTAAAGCACACGGCTCTCTGAGGAAACATGACGCCTGCTGACTCGCTTCAAACATATTAAAAGAGGTTCGGAAGAATTCATTTTCACAGCAGCTCCGAAGGCTCGAGGCGAGAGCAAAGAGACGACTGACTCTGACAGTTGACACACGACGATGAATGTCTGGAGCATGAAAGGCACGAATCTACAGCCACCAACTCACACTGATCTGCCTTTTGTAGAAGAAAACAATGTGAGGATGAAAACTGTCATGTGAGCAACTTAAATCTCAAATGTACTCTCATTTGTTGACATCAAAACAACAAGCTGCAGCTTTTAAATGTCAAAAACACGACAAAAACTACAAGGTAGAGGCGACAAACACAACCCAGCCTGCTGATTTCAATCACTTTGTTCAAGGACTTGTCACTATTTAGTTAGTTCACTTATTTTATGAAACCAGCCAAGAATCATATCAGTCTGTCACAGGGCCACACTTAGAGACAGACAGACAAGCACACTCACATTCACACCTACAGACAATTTAGAATCACCAATTAACCTCAACATGTTTCTGGACTGTGTGGGAGGAAGCCGGAGAACTCGGACAGAACCCACGCTGCACGGGGAGAACATGCAAACTCCACGCAGAAAGATCCCGGTGTCCTCACTGGGATGTGAACCGGCTACCTTCTTGCTGCGAGACAACGGTGCTAACCACTGAGCCACTTTGCAGCCCCGAACAAAACAACACATAGATGAAAAATCAAAAGAAAACCCTGAACACTCAGCCTCTACAGTGAGGAGATGCAGTGGTTCTGTTATGCAGACATGAAGACATGCAGCCAACTCGTTCAGATGCCGTCAGACTAACAGAAACGGCACATATCTGATAGGTAGTTTTTTCATTTTCTTTGTCACCAGTCTGTAGCTTACATTAGCAGGGGAGTCAGGTTCACAGCTCTGCAGCCAAATTTGTTATTTCAACCCAACTTATCAGATTATGATGATCGATTATGTGGCTTCTGTGGTGTTTCAACAAGGAAATAACAGTGTGGGAATCACAGGGGAACTATAAACTGTTCTCTGAGTCAGCAGAGAGAAGCTCTGCTGCTGGAAGTTACTGATTCAACACAGTTAACAGATACGTTCATATATTTCTACTGCACGGTGCAGAGCTGCAGGTGCTCATAGTTGTGGTCCTGTTGATTTGAGACAATGATGATTGCAAATTAAAAGTCTTGCAGCGAACCATGTGTGTGAATGGGTAACATCGTAAACTAATCAGCATATTATAAAAATCGCAACGTAAACAAATGAAGTACCTGAATTGTAGGAGCTGCAGTTTTCTGATGACGGTGAAAATTGTCACAACATACCATCATAAATGAAGCACTGTGGTGCTGCAAAGATGCTCAGACCACAGCAACAATCACATCATTTAAAAGAAATGCAAAAATAACTATTCCTTACTAAAACCATGAATCAAGCACCAGTAAGGTAGAGAAAGACGACAAAAACTACCATCAACATTCACCAAGAATGTATGAAATCCAACATGCATGAAGAGAAAAGGCAGGTCTGTATCAAGCATCAGGTTTTCAAGTGATTTCTCAAACTCCAAATCTGTCGACATCAGAATCAGAACCAGAGCAGACTCAAGACATGTCACTCTTTCTACATTGAAAAACGGTAAAACCATGACAGTATCCATCCATTATCTATACACCGCTTAATCCTCATTAGGGTCATGGGGGGCTGGAGCCTATCCCAGCTGACTCAGGGTGAAAGCAGGGGACACCCTGGACAGGTCACCAGTCTATCACAGGGCTACACTTAGAGACAGACAACCAAGCACACTCACATTCACACCTACAGACAATTTAGAATCACCAATTAACCTCAACATGTTTTTGGACTGTGTGGGAGGAAGCTGGAGAACCTGGAGAGAACCCACGCTGCACGGGGAGAACATGGAGACTCCACACAGAAAGATCCCGGGTGTCCTCATTGGGACGTAACACGACAACCTTCTTGCTGCGAGGCAACAGTGCTAACCACTGAGCCACCTTGCAGCCCCCATGACAATATCTTCTCTGATATTTTTGACTGTTGTTAGAAAAATAAGTTCGTCTGAGAGAAGCTCACAAGTGAAACAAACATGTCAGAAGCCCATAAACACCTACATTGAACCAACATAGTCAAGTCACGATTTCCAGTCAGATGTTTTTACGAGATTATATAACTGTGAAAACTATTAGTTGCATCTTTCACAATAATTAAGCTGTGATCCAACAGACACAGAAGCACCACTGTTTTCTACTGTTACAACACATTCATGATTCCAAATCAGCCAGTTAGTTATGCAAGTAAATTAATAAACGTCATCCAAAAGTTTCTGTCAATGACTTGTATAAAGCTGCCAAGAGAAACACTCGATTTCTATTTATCCTCTTGTTAAAAGACTCGATGCTGCTGCAGAACTTCACATCACCACAAATCTGAGGTCAACTTGACGGCGAAGCAGGCAACAAATAAACAAATGGGCAAAACAAATCACATACATCAAATAAAACTAATAAGGGATCTGATAAAATGAAGGCCAGCCAGCAGAAGCGCATGTTTCTGCAGTAAAAGCTCTTTAAAAAGCAGCCAACAGCTGAGACTGCACTCACCCTGCGATCTTGTTGCGTAGAGGCTTGCTGGGGATGATGGCGATCTCCTCACACACCCTCTTGTTGGTGTGGAAGTCATTGCCCAGTCGGGTGTAGTACTTCTCAATGATGACCCTGGCGGCCTTCTTGACTGTCTTGGTCCTGACGCGTCCCTGAAGCCAGAAACCAAACAGACTCAACGGAGAAATACAGTGATCAAACACACAACCTACGAATAGAGACGTATAGAACAGTAGGAGACCATCTGCTATTTAATAGTAGTGAAAACTGAACGGTTTTCCACTGGGATATTTTATTTCAAGAATAATTTTGCAACCCTATCACTAGATCTGTCCAAAGACACTCGTGGTGCACTTTGCTGCTGGATGTAAAGATCAACAACTTGCTACTAAAACAGTGTCTTTTCTTCTTTTCAAATTTTGGAATTTTCTCAAACTAGGGCTGAACAATCAATCGGCGGTCTCGTCAATGGTTTTACATATGATTGCCGTCCTCCTGGGACAGCTACACTTTTAATGTTATCTCAACAATAATGCTACACAAGGTTAGAAAATGATTTCACAGTAAACATGAAACTGAAGCTAAAAAAATGGATCATTTCTGTACCTCAGACTCTCCACATGTATGCTAAGGTGATCATTTACTGTCCAGGGTTACTAAACTGTTTATCACATAACATTTTTGAATCTTGTAATAATGTGTAGACGACAACTTAAACCTCTTTAACTGTAATAATGGCAAAAACTAGAAAGAGAACAGTGAAAACCAGCAGGGATGCAAATGCTTGTGATTACCGGATTTGCTGAATTACATACAAAAGCAACATTAAATATGTAGTTGTATAGACACAGTAAAAACTAACATTAAATAAGAATATTTATGAGTAAGCAAAACTTGACGTTTTAATGCCTGAAACTGTCTTGACTTGCTGATATCTGCTGTGTTTACACTCAACTTTCCTGAACTTGTACATGCTAATGCTAACTGGAGTGCAAGTTAAGTGCACTTCGTGTACAATAAAAACACAACTGGTAGCTTTAACTATTTAAATTTAGTCTGAGGGAATATTTTCTGATTAGAAAATCACAGTAACAGTAAATATAAAGTGGTGTCACTGTGCAGTTAGAAGGACGTCAAGCTAATCCTGTAAAGATGCTAACAGTTGTAGCAAACATTAGCCTGGTAGAAGCCGTTTACCGGAGCTGAAACTGCCGGTACAATGGTTTACTCCTGCTCGGTGACAGGGTCGGGAAGTTAAAAAGGTAGATAAACCGAAAGAGAACCGGAGGAGTCCTGCTACAGCTCCATGTGTACCGGTCACTGTGTTTGTAGCCGGTTAGCTACCGACACTAGCTGTTAGCTTGTGTTTTCATTATTTATCTCCACTTAAGAGCACCCAAACTGAGCGTGTATGAATGTGTGTGTTGTAAGGGTGCTGACAAGTGCTTGTGGCCGCTCGGTGGGCTGACAGGCCGGGAGGATGGAGGAGGATTGACGGGGATGTGACAGTAAAATGTTCTCTGTGTACCCACCATGTTGACTCGGACCGGCGGAAGAGAAACACCGCAGGGTCACAGCGGAAGTTTCAGCTGACAGCAGCGCCACCGACGGCAGCGCCGACTGGCGGCGGGAGGACGGAACTGCATCCGAGAAATACCGACATGACAGGGTCGTTTAATCTCAACACATTTAGAACAATTATAGCTCAAACATCTCTGATTTGCCTGAACATTTTATAGCATAAAATATAACTGTTTAAAATTATAACTCTAAAATTTTAACTTGATATATCCAGTACTTAAAAAAAAAAAAAGAGCCAGTTGACCTCACAGCCTGGAGACTGCATCATTGCACTTTTTTTTTTTTCAAAAGAACGTTTACAATGTTTATATTTATAGATTTTCTTAATTGTGTTTATTACTTTCAAAGTCTATTTGTGCCATTTTTCTTCTTTTTTTCTGGAAGCCCAGACTTCCACCTGCAATTCTGTTACATGTATGGAAGCGTATGCATAATGACAATAAAAAAAACGATTCTTCTTTAGCACATTTTTCACAGATTGAAACTTGAGGCCATGTTTGAACCACAGTAGTTCAAAAACTGTTGAGGATAAAAGTCTGAAGTCTTTACTGTTATTTCTCATCATGTCAGTGATTCAAAATATGCAACATCGGACAAAAGATCGAACAATCTCTGATTACTGGTGAGTAGAAATCTGAAAATCAAACTGAAGCCATCATGAAGTCACAATTTTAAGCACACATTTATAAAAAGGTAATGTAGAAGTCAGGTGGTGATATTTTCTGAACCATATGTAGCTGCATGGAAAAGTAATACAACAAAAGATATAGAAAACATCTTAATTAATACTTGGTTGCAAAAATTGAAAGAACTGATTTATAACTAACTGAGACAGTTGTACCACAAAGAGAAATATATTTCTAGAAAGCCTAATCCAAGTAGAACAGGGCTCTGTAGTTACAAAGAAATACAATATATAAGAAATTATTTTTAAAATTTGAGTGTACAGTATGTTTCATTTTCAGAGCTCACTTTGTAGACATAACCCTTGGTTTGGAGGAGACTTGTCATGGGGGGTTTGTGCCATTTCTTGAGTAATTCTCATTGAGGCATTAGGACAACATCAGTATAACCATGACCAAAACACTGTAAAGATCTATATAAAATAATAATTTGAAGTACTTATGTGAGCAGAACTTCAGTGATAAATGTATTCTCCTGATCATTGTGGAAACGATTTGGATTCTTGTGCTTTCTGTTCTGTTAGGAATAAACTCGGCCTTCAAGACCTTCAAGTGTGATTACATGTATATTTATAGGAACTTCTTACCTTCAAGCATCTCTTCTAGTAAGTACATGAATTTACATGAAAAAGTATAATAGTTACTGTACAGTTGCAGCAAAATGTTTAGCAAAATGTCAGGTTTTTTTTTTTGACTATGGCAGAACTTTACATTCACAAAAGACAAAATAAATGGAGACATTATCTCGTCACTATGATTTACTATTTCATAATTACAATGAATAATCTTTTATTTACAAGACATCAAAAAGGTTAATGTGTTTATCAATTATGGCATCACGACTGTCTGTCCTACAATGAACATGAACATCAGTATAAATGTAAAGCAATCAGGATGTTGTCACGTTCAACACTAACAAGCCTTCACCTTTGTTTTGTTTTTTTCAATAAAACCAGTTTAGTGTTGCAATGGACACACTGAGGGCTGCACCATCAACCCCTGCTTTAACCTGGATTTATTTTTTAACGTTAGAATATTAAGTTCCTCAAATGAACTAATAACATCTCCCTTCTGTAATATATTAATAGATGCAATGTCAACCATCACTGAATTACTTTAATATTGAAGAAATATTTAAAAGTGCAATATCACAATCTACCTCACTGCTTATATTTTGCTCATTTTTATATTTTGCTCGTTTTATTGTACTTATTAATTTATAGGCTTTTTCCTATTAAAAAAAAAAAAATTAGACCTGAGTACAAATTTCATACCACTAACATGTGAATGTGAGCTGGCATGACAACCTTGAATCCTTGAAAATGTGACGATTCTCAGGCAGGTCCTGAAGATCTGCTGCCTCCGTACACGATGCCGTGAGTTACACTCTGTGCTGCAAATCCAACCTCGACTTCCAGCTTATATTTGTTACATGTTGTAGATTTTTAGAAACTTGAGTACCTTGGATTTGCTGTGTACATACATGTTATCTTTTTATGTGGCTAAACTCTGAGTTACTGTTATCAAATTCAAAACATAAAATCACAAGAAAACCTTCAAAGACTCGACTTCCCTCCTCGTCTATAAACTGAACCCACAGAGAAGAATCTGAGTAAAGTCCTGATGCAGAAGCTGAACTGAAAACGACACATTTTTTATGAACACAACAGCGAATGTGTCCGTTTTTAAACCTGAAGGACCAAATTTACTAAATCCATCGCCTCTACGTACATTTGCTCCGTCACTAAAGCAGTTAGAACAAAATCACCTCACACGACATTCCCACAAGGTGGAGAGATCTTTTATTTTACATAAAAAAGGGTGCAAACTGGAGTTTCCCTTTAGGTGTGGAGGGAATAAAAAGTGATTTTTATAAGGTTCATGTGTGACACATCGTATTATATGAATCCAAGGAGGAGAAAAAAAAACAAAAACATAGGCATCTCCGATAAAAAGGACCTTTACCATTCTGCAAATTAAAAATATGAAACCATAAAAAGAAGAAATGTGGGTCCTTCATTCTTGAAGCCCTTGACTAACTCATTCAAATACATTTTTGAAGTGACATTCATATTTCAACACAATAATATTTATTTACAGTTTTAAGATTTCTCTTAATCATAGCTCTAAAAAACAAACAAACAGAAAAAAAAACAATGCTGAGGGGAGGATAAACTCTTGGAGCTGTACAATTAGATTTTCCACAGTCTGAGAGAGAGAGAGAAAAGAAAAACAAAAATCAAAGAATTCGTCTTTTTTTATATGGATTCCCAACAGAAAACAAAGACTACAATTGTGAACTCTGTACAATTTACAGTTCAAATAATCATCACAATATTGCAGTAAATGTCACCCTACACCTCTCCCTCAAAGAAAAAATATACAGTAAATCCAACACAATTCTACAGTACAGCAACAAGGAAAAAGTGCCAGAGAACCCAAAGAGACCTAAAGCCATTCATTCACACTTTAACTGTCCTTTGCTTTGATTTACACAGCTTCGACACGCAGGAATGAGCGACACACAAACACACGTCTGACTGGAGTGAACCTGTGTGAGGAAAAAGAAGTGGGAACTGAAATGGAATGTGCTGCGAGGAAAGAACGAATTCGTATCTCGCGCGAGGACTGGAAGCCGGAGCGTCTCGCTGATCCGACGGTACACGAGCCCTACGGGTTAAGAAGATTCGCCGGAGAGGAGGCGTCTCCGGATAAGCCATGCAGATACGAATCATACAGAGCACTCCTATATCGCCCTGTACGACGCCCACAGAGTTATAAAAAAAAAAAGTAAATACATCGGAGTAATATATCGATATCTACCGTTTCAGCTTGAGGAAGAAGCGGAACATGATCAGTCACAAGCTCGTGATAGAATATTGAACTCTTTAAAAACACTTTCATCGACACTCGTTCGGCATCGAGCCACGATTTCTCCCAAAAAAACCTGACAGCGGACACGTCAAGGACACACGATGGAATGCGATGGTTTAAAAAAAACAAAAAGACAAACAAAAAAAAAAACACACATTCAGCTTCATATTTTTTTCCTGGCACAGGTACAAGGCATGGGCTAGTAGTAGTAGTAGTCGTCTCAGGAATGGCACTCGGGGGGGAATTCAGGGGGAACATTGAAGGCTATATAGTCTTGATATCCATCTCACTACACACAATACTTTCAGCTTCTCTCAAGTAGCTGCTGGAACCGAACAGTCCGGCCGCCGCGAAGGAACCGCAGGCGGCCGGCGTCACAGGTTTTGGTGTCTCGGATTTCTCCCGACACCGGATCAAAAATACATCATGAAGAATGTTTTCACAGAGACATAGAAGTGATTTTTTTCTTTTTCTTTTTTAAACCTCTCAACATCTAACCGCACCTCTTCCGGGTGGAAACGACAAACCCTCCCCTCCCCCCCGACCAGATAAACACACACACGCACACACACACACACACACAAACAAAAACTTCACCTGTCCAACACACTCAAGAGGCACTGAGACATCTCTAAGAAACGAATACCTGTCATTCAAATAGCCTGTTTTCCCACCTTTTCCCCTCAAAATCCTATGTGTGGAATTACTAGGAAATAAAAAACAAAAACAAAAACAAAAAAAAACAAACAGAAAAGGTCCCGTAGATTTTCATATTCAAGTACTTTCGATAACACAATAACTTAGACCCCGGAGTAACTGACATGTCTTGGTGGGGGGTAAAAAATAAACCAAAAGCTATACAGTGTAAATACACATAACAAGCAGGTTTACATACTGATTCATTGAGATAATTTTGCAACATCTACAACATTGTTTAAAGATGATGGAGCAGGTCCACGAAACAAAACAAAAGAAAAACACTCCACTGAGAGTCGATTCATGTTGGACTTGCATGTGTGTGGAGGGAAGAAAAGAGGGTGGAGGGTGTGATGGCACAAAAAAAGGGGGGAAAAGAAACAATAAAGTGTATTCCCTGCACCCTATAGGGAAGGCCTAGCACACGAGGCAGCTACAATTAAAGTAATAAGCACATTTAAAGTACAGTATTAAGAAGGCAGGGTCTTGTCAGGGAAAGCCGGGGGTCAACAAATGTAGTGCAGTCATGGTCTGGAGCTTTTGTTGTTGTTGTTTTGTTTTTGTTTACCCTCTCTTTCCCCATAAAACCATGGCTATTTGGAATGGAGAAAAAAAAAATTGCATTCAACAAATTCACATTAGCATTAACGATGTAAAATTAAAAAAATAAAACACCCATGAACGGTAATTCACTCTCCGTTAGGAGGATAGGCAAGGTGACATATCGAGGATATTGTTTCAAGGCAGTCCTCCGTGACACTAAAATTAAAAAAAAAACAAAAATGGTATGGACATGTTCACTTGTTGTCCGCCCCTCGCTCCCGCTGGCGTCCGAGGAGAGGCAGCGGGCTTCAGCAGTCGTCCAAACGTCGTCACTTTGCAGCACAGGGGTCTTCAGACTGGACACGGAGGGGCGGGGACGACATCTTTTAACACCGTTACGACACCAAACCTTTTCCATTTTGGCATTGCTTTCTCGGGAAATACGTCTTCAGTGTGTCAACAAGGGAAGTCATTAACTGCTCTATTATACAGGCGACCCCAAAAAACTGCACATCTCACTACCGCCATGCTGCTAGCTGGTTGTCCAACTGGTGATGTGATGCGGTGGTCGGTCAGTTGGTTGGGTGGTTGGTCGGTCGGTCGGTTGGTTGGTTGGTTGGGGTTAAGGCATTGGACAGAAGCGTTTTAGAGGCTGTGATTCTCCAAAGCATTTTACCAGTTTTCTCTCGTCGCTCCAAAGCAACTTTTCCCCCCAAATATCCACTGGTGCAGTTACTAAGATCACCGACCTGTAAGATCCTCCCAACCCAACAAACCCACTCGGATTTGGTCTCACTTTTTTTTTCTTCTTTTTTTTCTAACTTTTTAAACATTGGTCTTCACTCCCTAACTGCAATTTCCTTCCCATGCACATGACAGATTATATAAATGCTCCAAAGTCATTTACTTTTCCGTCCATACATTCAGTGTGTATGTTTTTTTTTTTTTTAGAATTAGTAGGAAAACTGGTGGCAAACCAAGAGATAAATAGCATAAATAGCAATTTTTTTTTTTTGTTTGTTTTGTTTTTGTTTCAGCCCCGTCAACAAGCGTCAGGCTGCCGCTCGTCGGCGCAAAGACAACAGGAGCGAAAACTGCATGAGAGTCACAAAGAGAGACTGTAGTGTGTTTAGAACAGCAGCGTGGTTAAGGGGAGTGCTTTAACCAAGCAGCGTGAGCAGAAACCGTCCTCAGAGAACACAGTGCAGGAGGCGTCTCTGGTCTTCTGTTCTCTCGGGTCCCAGTGCCGGGGTTGACCTCTTTGGAGGAAAAAAAGTGCAGGGGCCAATCGGCAGACTGATGCTCTTTGTGCCCGAATGTAGGCAGCTTCACTCTTGGCTCCTCAGGTTTACATTCAGTCCCACGTCAGGAAAGACCAACAGGGCTTTGTGTCAAAATGAGCGAGTAAACTAACGAGGGGCAGACGGCGTTGACCTGGGACTCTGGCGGAAGAGGAGGGAGGGGGGGATGTGAAAAATAATGCTTTTGTGAGTAAAGCGGGAAATCATAGTACGCCACGGGAAGATCTGTCTCTTCGTTTCGCAACACCACAGAAGAGAAACAGGAGCAAAAATATGCCAAAAATGAGGAGAGGAAAAATACAAATGGCGGGCGTCTTGAGGAGGGAAAAAAAAATAACAATAACATCCATTCTCTGCAAAAATTCCATCAAAAAAGGTTTCCCCGTTTTGGCCGACTGACCTGCAAATCATCCCCACACGTCTCGGCAGAGGGGAAAAAAAGAAAACAAAAATTTAAAAAAAGGACTCCCATCAAAAGACACAAGCGTCTTGTACATCTCGACAAACCATTTTTAACTGGTCCCAACAGAGAACAATTCAATCAAGATCTTTCCGTTGACTCCCTCTTTTGCTCTGAATGGGACCTTATTGATTTCTGAAATCACAATCAACTGAGCCGGACACTTGGAAGGTTTCAGGCTGGTGCTGGGTGATCATTTGTGCCTCGGCGTGTTCTTCTTCCGTTTTCGCTTGAAGAAGCAGCAGCACCTGCAGACAGAGACGGACATTAAATCAATATGTAGACGAGGAACGTTTCAGATGGAGCAAAAAGAAAGAACAAACACAAGCGGACTGCTTAAAATTAGTGTGTTAAATATCACCAACAGCTTAATTTGAGCTTTCCAAATGTGTGTTTTTTTGTTTTAGGATTGTAACAGTAAAAATCTGAGCATCAAAGACAGGATGGATGTTCTGCCATCCACCCAGTGTTTGCATGCCGATTCACCTCCCACCATTTACAACCAACTACAAACTGCAGGTTTATATTTCTCTGATGCAAAATAAAAATAATAACGATAAATGGAGCAGTGCACACAAAGAGCACAGGACACAGTGAGCCTGAATGGTTAATAAAAACATACAAAGACAAGAACAAAGCTGTGGATCAAGACATAGGACAGTGACTGGGCACTCTGAGATTAAATAACTTAATAACAATGGTGTACCATGCAACAAGAGGCTTTTAATCTGAAGCCAAATGTGAGGCTGGAGAGGAGATAAATATTACAGGGGCCCACAAATAAGACTATTTAGTTAACTCATATCAAAGTCCTTCTGATTTATTCTTTCTGCCCTGAGTTTGATGTTATTCAGGCAGAATGATTGAATTAGTCTTTACTCATCTGTCAACACGAGGCAGTGTTTGGAGAAAAAAGGCAGAAAGGGGCAGAGACTTGATAGTGAATCCAGCTGACTGATCTCTGTCTGGCACCACTGTACCAGTGAGAGTCCAGTTAAATTTAGTAAAATAAGAACTGGGCCCAGCCTCGGCTGGTCCACTCCCTGTCCCATGAGTCTGACGTGGACGAGCAGAGAGGGACTCACCACAGGTTGAGCATTTTCACGCAGCTACAGAAGAAGAAGAAGAAGAAGAGGAAGAAGAAGAAGAAGAAGAGAGGAAAGAGTGTAAAGAGAAAAGAAAGATAGATTAATACAGCGAGACCAAAGATGATGGGACTGGGCTCATGCCACACGAACATGCACACAAACACACCAAACGGGACGCCGGTGGACACGGAAAAGGGAGAGTTCCAGAGGTTAAAGGAGGAAAAGATTACAGAGAAGGTCACAGAACATCTACTCTGCAGCTTCTACCAGGAGTACTGGGAACGAGGACGGCGCTGCAGTGAAATGTGCTGCGTAATGTCCGTTACATTTGCAATAGGAATGTGCATTAACGCCCTTTAAAAATTACATTTGTCTGCTTCCGGGGGAAAAAAAATAAAAAAATCAATTGCTCATATGATTCAAGTATCTGTTGCCATCTTTTAAAATATTTTTTAATGCAAAGTCAGACTGAACAAACGTCTCCTACAGGATATAAAAGCTGATGAACAATAGTAGAAATACGTGTGAAGTAACTGACCCAAGGACTCGTATTAAACTCATCTCTAAGTTTGTGCTGCAAGCGGTGACTAATTTTAAACTGTTGGGTTTATAAACTTCAGTAATGTTTAAACCTGATGTAAGGAAACTGCAGTGTTGTCCAATCACACTACAGAAACATACAAATATAGAGATATGTTTGTGCTTTAGGGCCAATAGTGTCCCTGCAGTTTAGAATTACTGGAAAAATGTTGAATATGTGGAGCAGGGATGATATTAGCACGATCAAGGTCTTATAACGAAAGATCTGTATCAGCCAAAAATGAGCTATGATCTATCAGGGTTAGAATTTATCAATAAATACGGCATGTTTCACATATAAGTTGAAGTACATCGTTTTCTTATTATGCCCAGTGAATGTAAACACTTGAAATGCTTTATATTTGATGTCTGCACTTGCCAGAGGGCATTCACAATAAGAAAAGACATAATAATAATATGTTGACTTTACTGCAGGAGAGACTTGATGTTTTTCTGCTTTTAAGTTTACCAAAGGACCAAAGGAGCTGGAAAATAACTGCAAAAAATCTGATATTTAAGGTACATCAGTGAAATTTATGTTATTTCACTTTAGTATGTTGGTTATATTCTGTGTTCATATATTCTTTAAAACTTTAATTTAGAGACGTCTTACGTCAGCGAGCTCCTGTTAGTGAAGACACGTCAATGCTCCTGAACAAATCACATTTTCTGCTGATTTTTGAACTTAAAAGAAGTTAAAAAAAAAGTGCTGCAGCAAAGAAAAATGAGACTTTGTTCTAATGTTAATTCTTTGCCACTGTTTTCTTTTCTGTCACCAGCTGAGAGTCTTTCTCTTCTTAATTTAGAAAGTTGTGCCCACTGAGATACTTTCAGGTTTGCTTTAATCTGGCTCACGCAGGAGATTTAGGATCCTTCTGCAGTGATGTTCATATCAGAGGACTGTGAGGCTGTGTCAAAACTGTGTTTCGGTGAACTTTAAGGTCTGCTTCGGCTCACCGTCTGTCCTGTTCTTCACAGGCAGCATCACGTGTGCATTCAGAATCCGCTGATATTTGGTGGAATTCATTTCTCCCTCTATTCTGTGCTATCGGCGGCGACACAACCCCAAAGCAGAATATTTCCACAGTGGGACATGTTATTTTCATCAGATGTATCCAAAAGAACTGACAATAATAAATCAATTCATGACCTCTCCTACAAGTCTGACTAGTAAATTAAGAGCTGATGAGCTGAAGCTGTGAGACCTTACAAGTTGAAGGGAGCACTTGACATATTTATTATTTTTCTGTTTTCAACTTCATGAAATAAAAAGTTGCAGCGCATTAAGATTTAAAGAGAAGCTCGTTGTTAATGTTTGTTTGCTGCAGGCGTCGCATCGACTTCTTTCACATTGAAAATCAGTAAAATATTTAATTTGCTCAGGGGTGCCAAAAGTTCTTCACTTTTTCATACAGCTCCAAGATTCTAGGTTATATTAGAAGCAGGTTGTATTAGATTATTACAAGGTTTTATTTGGCGACACATAAAGTTCCTCTTAGTAAACAATTATGTCACAAGGAGGTTAAGATAAAAACTGTTGCTGCTGCTATAAATCAGGCCAAAGATGAATACATGTATATTGTGATTTAATTAAAGTATCACTGATGAAAAGTTTTAAACTGGTCCTGCAAAGATTTTAATTTATATTCTTAGTTTAAGCCCATGAATTTTAATAAAAAGACAAAAAAACAGCTATACATTAAACACCTGATATTGTCTCAAAAAGCCAAACCTGAACTGAACAGCAGCAGACGCACAGTTTGCTTTCATTACTTCCTGTTGTTTTATCAAACCAAAATCAGCCCGCTTGACGAGGTATCAAAGAGACTGGCAGCGAACACGCCGATCATCATATCAAACAACCGTGTGAATGGAGACAACGGCAGGAAGGCTTATCGTCTGAGACGAATGCAGATTAAAGAGAACAAACCACTGGGAGATTCATAAGGAGACTTGAAGGAGGGAATCATGTTTTCTCCAGTGGCTTTGATGGTTATTGGCAAATATGAGGAATTACAGCTGAACTGAAGCTAAAACGCTCATATATGCTTTATGTCCAAATATCAAAGATGCATTGGGATAGACAGTGTAGCCGGAAAGAGTTTGATACGGGATGAAACAGCTACTAAAATGTCCTTATTAGAAGTTTTAAAAACAGCTTGTTTCACTTTATTACTGAGATTTGGTTTTGGAGTAGTTACTCAATCATTCATCAGCTGCCCTGATGATGATCTCCTTAACAGACCACTTAATCACCATCGATTTTAATAAATTCATTTGTGGGAACCATTTAAAGCTGAGGGAGGCAGTACTTTCCTGGTGTTACTGGGTAAAAATTTCCCGATAGCCTTCTGGCATTTTATAATTCCAGTAGTCTGAGAGGAAACCGGACCTCTGCTCCTCCTCTTGGCTCCATTTTCAGACTCATGACAGGTAACTTTGAGCAATCAGAGTTATATTTAGAGAGAAGCTTTTAGGCTGTTTTACAAGTGCAGATTTGCATACACGTCGCTTCAGATGGTAGAAAATTCTGCAGTTCAATCCCACCTGACACTCAGCCACGGCAACGCAAAGCAGCCAGAGTGCAACACCGTAACTGCACCGCTTCATTCAGAGGTATTAATAAGCTGAAGTCTGACTGTTTTGCAGATCTAACGTGTTCCATCAGCTGTAAATCACTAAAAAAGAATCATCAGGAAATAGTTTGATTAAAGGGAGACGCTTCTCCAGACGATTTAAACCTGACGCTCTGAACATAAACACCCCAGACCAGGTTAGCTCCGCAGCATATGTTGCCATGGTGACCTAGAAGGTTAAAAGAGCGTCACCTTCACGACGATGAAAACTCTGACTTTAGGCTCAACATACTTCACTAACCCACTAATCTCTCTTTTAACCACTGTGGTTCAAGCTGCATATCTTTTCTACTTACTTTCAATAAGTACCAAAGCTGCCCTCATAGAATACCAACGGTTGTATTATATGAACATACAACTGGGACACTTTGTTAGAATATTGCTTTAAACTTTAACTGTCTGCCTCACAAATCTGTCGCCGTCTGTAATCTGTGTGTCACTCTCAGTAACTCAAGCTTGTTTAAAGTAGCATGAAATAATGTGACATCTGCTCTTTGGCTGTGCAGGATTGTGGATCAGAACGGTTACAAAAGCACTTTGGTTTGCTCATTTACACATATCTATAGATGTACATTGTAGTTAAATTCTCATAACATGTTGTCCTTGTTTAAATGCATGTGTGTGTGCATGAGTTTTGTTTTGTACTTTGAGAGCAAAGAAAAAAAACAATAAATTCCTTGTATGTGTTCTCACTTGGCCAATAATTCTAATTCTGAAAATATATGGTTTGGGACATGCTAAAACTTTTTTTCCCTGTCATACTAGATAATACGGTACTCTGGGTACTGAAACACCCTGAATTTTGGAACAAAGCGACAGACTCAACGCAGCTGTCATGCACCGTTTTAAAATGGTCACATCTACATTTCTGTTTGTACTTTTATCAAACAGTGACTTGAAACACTGCATGCATGTGGATAAGTCACCACATGGACAGTCTGGTGTGATGTCGGCTGTCTGCCACCACAGTCCACCGACGGGTTCTGCACTGATCACTGTGGCTGCTGTTGGAGAGACTGCTAAAAAGTGAAGTGGCGTTTGAGCGGCTGCCAGTGTGGCTTATGTTAGCGGTCGACTGTTTGAGGGGTTCAGGTGTATAAGTTGATCTGTGTCAATCTTCTGTCTTTTAAAAATATGTAACTGAGAGAACAGAACAGAGACAGGCAGCGTCAAGACCAAAAACCCACACAGTGAGACAGATCAGAGGGGCAGGAGCAGGCCGACAGCTGGGGTTTGGGGCTGTCACAGTTCCACGGCATAGCAAAAGGTGGCGAGAGAGAGCTAGAGGGACAGAGAGAGGAGGAGCGGGAAGGAGAGGAAGCAACAGATGGACATAGAGGAGAGGCGTGGTGGGCGTATGACACATACTTGGCCTCGTCGACCACCTCCACCTCTGCCTGAGCTGTAATCGGAGCGTTGGAATGAGCTGCCAGCGGATCGTCTGCGTTCAGCTCCCCGTTGGTCGAGCTGACCACCTGCAGCACAGACTGGAGTTACTTCACATCGACCCACAACAGTTTGGTGTTAGCATGTTGGCCAACTACAGCTGTGACAGAAAGTTGACTTGGTTAACAAAGAACAGATAATACTTTACCACATTTTATTTTTTTACTGTTTCCTTTTTGGGAAACTGGTCTCTCAGCAGCAAAGAAGAATACAGCAATAAAAAAGTAAAGGCAAATAATATTAATGGCTTGTATTTAGCAAATTATCTAAAATAAAAAAAGCCACATATGATGTAAGTTGCTGGTGTTTTGTGTCAGTAGCCACTCCATGTTTGTTATCAATGTGAATCACGAACTACAGCTGTCACCAACTCTTCAAATCCTCCACATGAAGGCTTTTGGGAAACCTGAGACTTCACTCTAAAGTGTAAAGATGTGAAAATAATAAAAAGTGGGGTGAACCTGAGCTATTTCAGGTGTCTGTAGGTTAATAGCTTTACCAATTTCTTTTCAGTAAGTAATACATGAACTTTCTTGTGTTTATCCACTGTTAAATATACTAAAAAAAAAAAATCTATCATTTGAAATTCACTTTGCAGCCTTTATGTTCATTGTTTAAAAATACCAAACAAAGAAAAGATGACCAAACTCCCTCTTTAAAATATCTTCAGCTGTATGATAAAAATCGTAATGAAAAATCCCAATATGCAAAAAAAGGTACTGAAAGCTGTACCATTGACCTGTTGAAGAAATGTCATTATAATCATTGTGAAAATGTATTTTTGTACGCTTAGGTGTGCATGTGAGTACTTAGGGTCACATGACATGAAAATAGTTGGCTTTTTTGACATATCTGGACAAGCAAACATTTGATTCTCGTTGAGAAAGTTGCTTTTACAATGAATTATTCAACAAAAACATCAATATTATAATATCAATAATGTAAGTCTCAGAAGCACATATTACCCCCTTTAGCAGAAATGATTTCTTCTAGGCTTCTTGAATCTTTGCTCACCAGTTTCTGACATCAGCTTGCTGAAACTTCAGACCACTCTTCAATGCAAAATTCCTGCAGCTGTTTTCTTACTACCTGTTTAAAATCCCCCCACCAACATTTCAGCCAGACTTTAACTCGTCCATTCCATAACTCTTCATTTCTTCTTTTGTCATCTTAAAGAGCCACTGTTGCAAAGAGGACTCAATGTTTGCTTTTCAAAAATATGTCAAAAAAGCTCACAATTTCCACTGTACCTACTTTATCATACATTTGTAATTCTCATAAACCCAATTCACTGCCTTTCACGTTGAAACAGTGCAGAAAATACTGCAGAAGAAGCTGGCTGATACAGGAGGCACACTATTTTTTTTTTTTAAATGGCTTGTTCACTTTTGTCACAATTACATCAAGTATGGCACCAAACTTTACTTCAGAAATCTGCATTTCTTTCATATAGCCAGCAGGTGGCAACTCCTCTGGTTTCAAAAAGAAGTCCCATTGCAGTCAAGTCTCTGAGACCCTTTTCCCCCTTGATCTGTTACCTCAGTAATCATTTCCTTACTGAGCTAATGGACTCAATCACCTCTTTCAAGACTTTCTGAACACAGCATGGTGTTGACTTTGTAAATAACGGTCCTATTTCGAGTAAAACAGTTGATAAAACTGGGTGTATCTTGGGGAACGGCTCCTTGTGATTGAGAGACCACTGCTGTATCACCGTGCTCTGTTTCAAAAGACCAAGATGGTGGCAGGCCAATTCTGAACTCAAGGTGTCAAAATGGTCGTCCACAATGGAATGGAAGACGTCATCGTGGCTACGTCCATCCTTTATATACTGTCTGAGTAACTCATCCTGCATTGAGAGTCCAGCCAAAGCAGGAGTAAAATGTTTCTGCTAATGGCAAAAAACTAGAAACTTAATTTAAAAAGTAGGGTGGAAAACCTACTTTATGCCTGGAAACTTTTGAATTTCCACACAGTTTCGACATGAATGGCATTTGGTAGAAGATCCAGAGATGTATTTAGGCACACACTTCACACCTATGCGAACAAAGCTTGTTGAAGACAGAAAAAAACTTTTGGTAATGGCGAGGAGTCAAAATTACACCGCTATGTTCCTTGAAGCGTAACAACCCATTATGACTTCAGAGCATGCACTTAGCTGGCTGAGCCAGGTCATCCTGCCATGCAAAAGGCTTCTTGATCTTGCAAGGAATGTCCTAGCGTCATGAAGAGTTGTAGGACCTGTGATCAAAATGCCACAACCGGTGCTGCTGTTTATAAAGCTAAAATCACACTTTCACCATCTGGGGTGGGTGGCACCAGATGACATGCATATGGTGGAGCAGAAAAATAACATTTCCCAGCCAGGGGTAAAGGGGTTGGGGAGGTATATGGTTGTAGATCTGTCTCACACACAGGGCTAAAATACTACACTGTTGTACATTTACTTGTGATCTAGAAATGGTTCCAGTTATTAGAAATAGCAGCAGCATTCAGGAAACATTGTAATATAATATAGTATATTAAAGTCAGTTATGAGCTGGGATCTTATGCAGTATTCTGAATAACACGTCAGGTAAACATGGCAATTTTACCTCTTCTGCATGTCTGAAAATGAACTCAAAAAATTACAAATATTTTGAGTTGATTACTTGAGTGTCTTCCTGAACACGAAGAGCATTATTAGATTTTAATCTTAAATAGTAAAACAATCTCTGCTTCAATTATCGCTAAAACTAGGCTCATAAAATAAATCCAGACTACGGAAATATAAAGATAACAGATGTGCTCGTTTCCTCTTATTTACAGGCCACATGTGGAGGTTTATGTATTTAAACGAGATCCTATGAGACAGATCTGACTCCATGGAGACTGGGTGGGGGCTGCTGGTTGACCAGGTGAGGGGTGTATACCTGCACTGAGCCCCCGTGCCTGTCCGCTGCCAGGTGGGAGGTCAGATAGGAGGAGTTTGCTTGGCGTGTGGGCTGCACCTCCCATGCTCCTCGTCGATCTGAGACTGCTGTCTGCTCAGGAGTCGGGGGTGGCGTCGGTGATGTGAGGGGAGTGGGGGGTGCGATGGGAGAGGGAAGGGGAGTGATGGAATAATTGCGTTAGGAAAGATGGGATATTTGGGTGTGCGAGGCAAGGTACCATGCAAAGCAGCATGAGAAATGGAGAAGAAAAAAAAACAAATAAAACGTAACAAAATAAAAGAGTGAATCAAAATCAAAGCAAGGCTTCAGCCAAAGAACTGAACCAGGAACTAATGAGCCTGAAGCCAAATGGAGGTAAGCTCTTACATCTCTACTTTGGCCTCAATCTCATTGCACTTAAATAACATTCTTAATTTAAACAAAAGCCATTTGCTTGATGAGTTGTTTTCATACCAGCAATTAACAGCAATCAAAGGTTTAAACAAGCAAAATATAGATCACATTCAGCTGAGAACTCACTGGAAAAGTTACTAAAATCCTTAATTTGAAGAAAAACATTCTTTATACCTCCCCAAACCTCATATGGAGCAAAAACCCAACATGAATTTGCACCAAAACTCTGACATTTAACCACGAATGGCAAACTAGAATATGTGAAGAAGTGAACCTCAGTCCACTGGAAATAAAACATTAATGAATTGCACTGACAACTTAAGTACACGTTCTATGGGAAGAATCTAATAAAGAAACCAAAGAGTCCCTCCTTTACCATCTCTAAGTACATCTCATTTTAGTTCAGTGCCGCATGTGAATGACTGTAAAGCTTTATGTCAGTCATCCTCATGTTTGTGGGCTGCTGTCAGTGAGCAGAATACATCTGAATTCCTAGAACACTTGTTAACAGTCGAGCCACAATAACTGAACGCTACAATCACTTCTTCCAAAACAGAATGTAAAGATAAGTGGGACTACTTTGGGTGAAAGCTTCAAAAAAAGTGTTTTGACTGCATTATAATGACACACAGTCGTGAACAAAAGTTAACATAACCTTGTAAAGACCATGTATATCATGGCAGACTTGAGTTTCCGATGACTCCTGTAACTCTTAATTTTTCTATGATGGAATCATTGAAACACGTCACAAAAAAACAATCATGCATTTTGGTAGATTTTTTACTAGCTTTCTGGAAATATGACAAAATCTCCTGGGTCAAAAATACACATACAGCAAACCTGAATTATCAGGTTTGGTGATATAGGAAGTTGTGTTTATCAAATTTTTTTAGTAGCATGGCCTCTCAGTTTCTCGTGAGTGATTATGACTGACTACAGCTGCTGGCTTTGTAAACAAATCTAAACAGGGCCCATTTGGTACACTCGCTGGACTCAGCTACAAACAAATGGAAAATTTAAGTAACACAACTTTCTACGTCACCAAAACTGACAATTCAAGCTGTTCTATGTATTTTTTGACCCAGCACATTGTCATATTTCCAGAAGATCTGTAATAAATCTATGAAAGAACCAAAATGCACGATTGTTTTTTGGAACAAGGATGTATATCTCTCAATCAATCCATCTTAGAAAACTATGAGTTAGAGGAGTCACTGGAAACTCAAGACTTTCGTGATATACGTGGTCTTTTTTAATTTTATGTAAATTTTGGTTCGCGGCTGTTGATTTTGCATTTTAATTATCCTTCTTCAAAACACTCATACAGGAGATGATCTCATACAAGCTTGGTACCTTATTGGCTTTGCTGTGGAATAAGGCTGAGGTCCCAATAATCGAAGACTGAAGTGAGTTTCAGGCTGTATTTCACCGTTTCCCTTCTTTTTAATGGATTTAAAGCCTGCTAAAAACAAAAAAAGCCAAACATCGTCCCGCTGCTAAAACAAAACCGTCCGTACCTGATTTCTAATCGGTGCGTGCTGTGAGGGTCGGTCTCTGTGAGGATGACTCTCTCTCGTGACCGCTGATGCACCAGAGTCTATGTGGACAGATCCCACTGGTGTGGGCTGAGGGGAATAATACTCAGTTAAATTCTGTGAGCTAAATGCAAATTACTGGCCTTCAAACACATCTGTTAACACAAGTCACTTACAATTTGCCTGCCAACCCAGTCGTAAGTGTAGTCAAAGGTGTATCCTTTCCTCTCGAACAGCTCAGTGAACAGAGTCCTCAGATATTCATAGTCAGGCTTTTCAAAGAAGTCCAACCGCCTCACATACCGCAAGTAGGTGGCCATCTCCTCTGAATTAAACAAGACAAAAAGAGAATAGTTTAACCTTTAATGTTGATAATAGCATTCTAACCATGTACTTGGATGACATTTCAGAATATCGTACTGGAAAAATGTTGCCAAAAAAAGGCTGTATCAAAGCCAATATCTATATTCATAAATCAAGTTCTACAGCCTGAATCCTAAGTAAAGCACAGCCAGCGTCAGCGTACCTGGGAAGTTCTCACAGAGGACCTCGATGGGAGTGTTTCGTTTTGTGTCTCCAATCTTCTGGTATCTTTCTTTCAGTGTGTCAGCCTGTAAGAGATTCATAACAGAAAGACATATTTGAACCAAATCTGATGTGCAATAAGCACAAACGAGTTTTAAATACACTGACTCTGCATTCTAGTTCAGTTCACATCATTGCTTCTCCTCTGTACTGAACTGCAGCCTTGTTTTCGTAATATTCAGTTAACTTTACCAACAAAAAAAAGAAAACTATGGTAACCCAAGTCTTTATATTTACATATATTCACATTTCATTACTTGATATAATAGTTCATTTGGACTGCAATGCAAAACTGACTTTCAACACATTCAGAAATCAAAGGAAATACAATGACATTGATTTTAAGGTCGCTCTGAGATGTGTTATTTTTTTATTGATAAATGTGGTTCTATATAAGAAAAAAATGATTTTGTAACAGATTTTGGAACACATCCATGTACTTGTCATACCTTTAGTCCTTGCCAAGGTAGACTCCCACGTAGGAAATACATGAACATGTGGCCTAAGGCCTCCAGGTCATCTCGCCGGCTTTGTTCTATATCAATAGATTTGATAACATTTCACTGAGAGACTTCAGGAACAATGTGCCAAAACACCTTATATAAATAAACAGACACTTCAAGACACAACAGAACCAAAACAAAAACAAAGCCATGAAACAGTTCTTACCTTTGCCTAAATGTGTGTTGATGGACATATACCGGGCGGTACCGGTCAGGCTCTTGTGCTCCCGGTACGGAATGTGTTTTTTGGTCTCGGGGTCGATGTACTCTTTGGCCAGGCCAAAGTCGATGATGTGGATGATGTGTTCCTTTTTGTTCCCTTGCCGTCCGATGAGAAAGTTTTCGGGTTTTACATCTCTGTAGATGAGATTTTTAGAGTGCACGTACTCCATTCGAGAAATCTGAGGAGGAAGAACACAACAAAAAACAAATCACATCAAAGTTAGCACGGCAGAAACTGAGATTTGAATTTTAGTGATGTTCAAACTGACGACTGAAATACGTCCATGTCTTCAACAGCATTGCAATATCAGATATCCGCATTATTACACATTAAGGGGCCACTACATTTATTTTACGCAAGCAGATGAGTTTACTGGTCATGGTTATGACGTAGTATGTTTAAACAGTTGCATCAAGTCTTCTGTGGCTACAAATGTGTAAAAGAAACACAGCAATGTAAAAAGGGGACATTTTACCACAGTGACTCATTACTAAATCTGTACCTAATGATGACTGTAAATGAATATGCGGATAATTTTCTCTTATTACTGATTTGTTCTATAAAACGTCAGAAATTGATGAAAAATGTCCACCACTGCCTCCCTGTATAGGGCTTTGGGAAACCAAGCTATTCAGATATTCAGTTTACTGATACGGAGGAGAAAAAAACAAGTTGATATTCATGTCTTTTGAGAGAATCTGGACTTTATTTCCTTTAAAAAAAAAAAAAAAAAACTGATAAATCAACTATCAAATTGTTGGCCATACTGTAGTTGAGAACTAGTCGATTAATTGCTGCAGCTCTATCACTTTGTATCACTCAGCAAAAGCCTCATTTCACTAACGAAGATGCAGAACCATGATGCTGGGGCTCAGGACTGCAGGCATGAGTGGTTAGATTCAAAAGAAGCACGTGTTTATAGACTGTAAGATTGAAACCAACTCCTCAGAAGGAAAACAAACGAGGCAGTAATGGTGTGGTGGTACGGTCTTTTGCTTGGGGTTACTTAAGCTGGAGCAGAGCTGGAGGCTCATAGCACTCACAATGAAATCCCTTATTTGTGCCAAAAAAAATGAGGAAGAGCTACTTGATAAACACAGAAGATAGAATGGTCGAAATGCAGCCTTTAGCAAATCTGTGTTCTGTAACACCATGCCTGTGTTGTGCTGTTTTGTAGCTTTCTTTACAAATCTGCAGAGGCTATCTATATTACAAGAGCACTGCAGATTTTGTGCTGACAAAATGAAATGTTAGAAATTTTGAGATGTCTGAGGCACCTAAGAGGCTGGGCCACAGCACCCTCTGAGCTGCTCCGACTTAATGAGATTCAGTGATGGCTTTGCTCTTTTTGACAGCTTCCAGCCTGCCTGACTCTGACCAAAGGCACACATATACTGACAGATTGCTAATTTGCAGACTGGGTAATAGGAGACTCTGCACTGATACTCCACCTTCCCACCTGCTCTTTGGACATATGGTCTGCAGGCAGGACTGTGGGTGCATGCAGTCCGACAGATTACACATTTTTCTTATTCACACAAATCCTGAAAAACAGACATATAGGTGCAGTTTATGGAAAATGTGTAGTTTTGCATGAGGCTTTCTGGGACATAAAACCACTGCAAAATCCTAAATAATGCTCTGATGCTTTGATTGATCTCAACAAATCACAGGTCATTGTGTGCATGAATTTCTAATTTCGCACTTTAAATTTAATCAGCTGCTTTTGCTTTGTGCTGCTAAAGAAAACTCAACATCGTGTGTGTGTGTGTGTGTGTGTGTGTGTGTATGTTCATTTTTGACCTTTAAAGAGCCCACATTATGCACAATTACAGGTTCATAATTGTATTTGTAGGGTCTACTAGAATATGTTTACATGCATTAAAGTTCAAAAAACAAGTTACGTCTCATATTGCGCTTAGCTACGGCAACTCTTTTAACCCCTTGTGTGAAGTCTCCATTTTAGCTACTGTCCCTTTATGGTTTTGCTCCCAAAAAAGGCCAGTCTGCTCTGATTGGCAGCTTGATCGGTAACTTGCTCATTCTGTGTTTGAGGTCGTGCCAAACTAGCCGCTAGGCAGGTGTTATGCAAATGTATTAATGGTGATGTAAACAAGTCACAGACGAAAAACCTAAACTTCAAATAAGGCGTTTCAGGCAGGTGAGGAGCAGTGTTTTCTGTAGAAGAGAATAACTCCCTTTGACATGAACTTTAAGTTTTGTGTGTTTGCAGAACAATAACACACTAAACTAGAAGGAAAAACTCAAAAAGTGTAACATGGATCCTTTAGTTTGGGGGAAAACTCTACCCACTAACGTCTTCCAGAGCTTCCAGTCAATTTGTTGGTTTTCTCATTTGTCAACAGAGCAAACTCTGAGAAAGACGGTTAGGTGTGACAACTTTTTGTCCAAGTTCCTCCATTTGTTTTACAGTGAAACCTTCCCAATGATTCGGAGGAGAGAATCCCTTAAGAATCCAGAAAAGCTTTTATTGTAAAACATCTACAAGAAGTGTTGAGGGAGTTGAGTTTCAAAAGCAGCATCTTAGTGTCAGGACAACATGGTGAAGCAGTTGATTAGAATGAATGAAAATGCGACTAAGACTAGCGTTACCATTATAAACAGACTGACGATGTATGTCGTTGCATGTAATTAATTGTGTGAAAGTAAAAATATGCTAAAGTCCTGATGTAATCTGTTAAGTTACCATTTGTCTTTTGTGATGTGGACTTTATTTGTCCAACACCCACAACTGTTTCAACTGACAATTACATAAAAATGTACAGTCATCTCCTGGTTTGGTCCTTTCCTGTGGAACCATTGTGGAGAGACGATCCTTTAAAAAAAAAAAAAAAAAACTACCTGATAGCTGGATTGAACTGTGATGGCTAAATAAAGGCCTTGTTTCAAATGTAATGCTGTTCAGCCTTTCTGCTCAGGCTTTTGCATGTGGCTGCAAGATAAACTTCCTCTTTGCACTGCAGAATGAAAACTAAGTTTGTTTGTTTTTTTAAAAAAGGGGGGAAAAAAGAGTCTAGCCAGTGAATGGATGGTTGAAACAGACAGCTAAACGTAACAAACCGTCAGCTGCAAGAAATGGATTACATGGTTAACGAAAACTAATAAATAGCCTGCTGAAAGTAACAGATAAATGGTTGAACTATGTAAATAAATGTTGGATAAATGTTAAATAAGGACGATTTCATTAATTGTATAGACAAAGGAAATGAGAGTGGTTTTAATCGAGGTAAGTGAGAGATTAAAAAAGTTGGACTAGTTAGCTAAAATGATGGACAAACTAGGGAAGCATCCATAGGTAATGAAAAAATAGGGAAATGTTTATGGATACATGGATTAAAAGTCACAATTAAGTGAAGGCTGAAGTGGTTTCTTTGCACAAACTTTAAATATTAACATTTCATCAATCACAGTAGGACAAGAGAAGGAATGTTCAAACTATTTCATGTGTTATATAAACCTACCAGCTGAATTGCGATCATTAAGACGGTCTTCAGTGAAAAGGTTCTGTCACAAAGGTCAAAGAGGTCTTCTAGACTCGGGCCCAGCAGCTCCAGAACCATGGCGTTGTATTTCCCACAGGGCCCGAAGTAAAACACCTGGGGCACGCCCTCGGCTGCAAGACAATGGAGAAAGAAAGAAATAAGACTCACAGGAGACACAAAAATCCCTGGACCTGTCTTGAAGTAATCTCAAGTCTTTATTGTGAAACACATCAAAGATAGCGAAGATCAATGTTAATAGCTTAGACAGTAAACAGAAAACTGTTGAGGGAGAGCAAATACGACTTAGCAGATAATAGGTACAATGGGCCTTGAGTGTTTTTCAGTTGTATATATTAGAGGAAATTCTTAGAGAGTTAAGGTGGCCCGAGTGTTTATTATTCCTGTCCCTCTTGACTAATGATATTTCTAAGTTGGGTCCAAGGTGAACCATAAGAGGCCTGAAACTCAACAGACAGGAGGAGGAGCGGCACAAGGTTAGCGAGGACAGAGGGAGCTGCTCGCTAAACATTAACCCTACAGCATAATACAACCCAGAGCCTGCAAATGCAACTGTGTCACTCGTCTACTGCCGGCTGAAAACTAATCTTTTCACTGTCTCATATCACAACCTCCCAACTGAATCATATCCTCTCTGCTCCACTCGCTCTAATTGCTCCAAAATCCCATCCATCTGTCACCTTGGCTCTTATTTTACTTCTTGTCACGGTGCAGTTTAGTGTTGGGTGGTCAGGCTAACGCAGCTGAGGCTGGAATTAGGGTGTACGCTCCCTCTGTAGGGCTTGTTTATTGAGCTGGTGATCCTTTAAAAAGTTACACTTGTAGAAAAGTGAGTGGGCTTAATGCCTAAAACTGTAATCTGAAGAGCCTTTCTTCCTCCACTTTTTAATGACAAAGACCATTTTAGATTTTATAACAAAAGCCTCACTATGTGTCACACACACTCTGAAATTTGTAATGTTTTCCAGAATCTCAAGTTTTATGCGCAGACAACTCCCATTCATTTTTAATTATTTGTAACTGGCAGTAACTGTATTTTTTTTTTTTGCCATTATTTTGACCACATCCTGAACTGTAGTTTCAAAGAACGGGAAATCAGGTCAAACTGCTAATTGCCTTCGGGGAAGCATGATTCAAAGTTTGCCCCTGCTAACTGCTAGTCGGAGTCCTATTAAAAAAAATGTCCTCTCAGGAAACTTCAAAGAAAGCCTCAATCATACAGACCTTCCTTTATCAGACTACTTAAGCTGTGCTCAGTCCTTGGAAATATATAATTGCATAGAAGTTTCAGGAAAAAAGTGCATGCGCCTTGATTGCTTTTCATGTCCCCGATCCAGAAGCCAGAGCCTTAATATTGAGCATCTGCAGATTCCAGCATAAAATAACTCTTAACGGAGATGGGACGCGGTAGCTTTGCTTTGCGTGCCTAGATGTCTATGTGCAATATATTTATGTATTTAAATGTAGCACACATATGTAAAATAAAACAACAGGAAGAAAAGAGAACAAACCAAAAACTGCATTATAATTTCAGTATGAAGGGTAGATTAACATTCTGACAAGCGCACACATTACACACACATCTTCTATTTACATACACATGAATGCACCCACAAATACACAAAGCTACAGATACAAAACTACACATAATCACATATATCTTGTACATACACAAAACTGCAGTTATGGATGATGTTATTTTGAAATCGTGGATATAAATTGTGGGACGAACATTTATCAAAAATAGGGTCTGAATATCAAATATCTAGCAATGTCCCCACACACATCTGATTGGCTACATGTCACAAATAATAGCTTAAAGGATAAAATTCTCTTTGAATTCTCTTTTAATTAAACATCCATCCATCCATTATCTATATACCGCTTAATCCTCACTAGGATCTTGGGGGGCTGGAGTCTATCCCAGCTGACTCAGGGTGAAGGCAGGGGACACCCTGGACAGGTCGCCAGTCTATCACAGGGCTACACTTAGAGACAGACAACCAAGCACACTCACATTCACACCTACGGACAATTTAGAATCACCAATTAACCTCAACATGTTTTTGGACTGTGTAGGAGGAAGCCGGAGAACCCAAAGAGAACCTGCACGGGGAGAACATGTAAACTCTACGCAGACAGATCTATAACCAGTTTCAAATATTGGTTACCGGTCTCCTTGATGGCTAATGATTGATACTGGCCCTTTAAATTAACATATTGTACAGTAATTTATAATAATGTGATGTTTCTAATTTAATTTAATCCAAGAGTGTAAAACTCAAGTCCTCCATTTTTATGCAGAGAGCAATTTCCAAGACTGTTTATTCATCACAATATCTTTTTATTTTGCTAAATAAAAAAGCTGACGCCAGGTCACAGTACCATATATGTGTCTACCAATTTAATATTTGATTTAACAAAATAGAGCAACTGAAAGAAGATCACAAGTGATTAGTATCCTTCCTCTGTATAGATGTAGAAGACCTAGCTTGTGCAGCAATGTACTCTGTTGTAATTTTTTAAATAATTTTACATGTTTAAATCTGCATTGATTGTTTTTTTTGGCCACTTGGGGGATGTGAAACAGTATGTAACCACAAAAGTGACATTTTCATCACCTTATAAAGCTCATATAGTGAACATGTTAGCAAAAAAAGACTCACAATATCCGTCTATGCACACAGATATGCAAAATAAAGATATTTCCCTCTGCAAACACACAGTGAAACAGTGGATAGGCTGTCAGCACGCAGTATATATTGGTTGTGTGCTCAGTACATTCATGTTTTGTGAACCATAAGGAAGGAGAAAGTTATAATAAAAGTTTTGCAAAGTGACAAAGTTGCCATCATAAACCTATAATTCTGCTCAAGTAATTTAACCAGAGACTGATTTTAAGAAAGCTAAACACAAGTACTTATCCTGATGTAGTTTAACTCATCACATATTTACACTAAATATGTTGCTGAAGACATTTGACTCGCCAGCTGGGTAATGAAAAATACACTGTAGCACGAAAGGTGGCATAAATGCTGTCAGCTAGCATATGGACATGTAGGAGTCACGCTGGGCTCCATCCTGTGTTTCTGGACACCATTATGTAGTTCTGTGGGTTGCTAATTGGACCATAGGAATGAGTGCCTCGAAACCATGGGTGTCTGTGGAAGGCCTAACATTGGAGATGTGCTGTAAATAAACGGATAAACAGTTGGTTAATTGAAAACAAAGCTGGTCAAGCTTTTCACTAGCAAAGGGAACACCAGGGACGGCAGAACCACCGGCGTCTACAGCAAAGTAGCCACCATGAGAGGCTGAATCTGTGTGTCCTGCGCTGCAAAGTATAGTCTAAATCTGCAGGAAGACTCAAACTTTGATGGAAGCTAACAACTTTGTAGGTACCACTTTGGACTTCTCTCATCCAATTTCCTTCAACATAATGAGAGAGACTTCTGGGTGTAGTTCTGACTCGGTCTGCAGGACACTTCTACTACTTCTTGCAAGCGAGTGAAATGCAAAAGACGAACAAAGACGGCACCAAAATGTCCACACGAGCATCGGCGAGTGGACGAGCAGAACAGCACTGTGTGATTTGCCTCTGTTAGAGCAGTATGTTGCAGGCAGTATTTGCTTCATGCTGCTCAAACCTTAGAGATCCATACAAAAGTCAGAACTACAAAAGGTTTCATGTGGACTTCCATAAATGTATCGCTGAATGAAACTGCCTGAATACCTTTTCCTATGCATTACTGTAATCTAATGGAGTTGCTGGCTGCAGTACTTCATGACAAAAGGGGGAATAAGATGAATGTGTAATGAATGAATATGATCGCTTCTGAGCCCGACTGAAAGGCACTCATCCAGTTCACTATGTATGCAATTCTTCAGCCTGCTGTCAAAGATCAGATGTTTTTCTGGACTGGAAAAACCTGAAACAGGACCAGAGCTTAGCCTGGATGTTTTATTCAAGCATCTGGTAGTAGTTGCTCTTTGTAAAAAGTCTATTTATACTCAAAGTTCTGTTTGATCTCCTCCGTACCAACATGTTGTAGACCTAGTTTATGTTGTAATTGTGTTGTAATGGCCACAGGATGCCAACTTACAAGGGCTCTGCTCCACAAAAAAATAAGTGTTACACAAAGATTTCGTCATGCGTGTCCGCTACATCAAAGTGCATTTTTTAAATATTGGAGAAAAACATAGAAATTACGTTCTTACTACTGTGCGGTGCCTTTATGTGTGAAGTTTGCATGTTCTGCTCGGGCCTGTGTGGGTTTCCTCCCACAGTCCAAAGAAACGCAGGTGAGGTGAAGTCGTGACTCTAAATTGACTGTAGGTGTGAGTGTGCTTTTCCTCCTATATACAGTATGTGTGCGTCAGCGCTGTAATAGACTGGTCATCTGTCTATGTTGTGGCCCACTGCATGCTGGGAGAGGCTCCAGTTCCAGACTAATCATATTGGTTCGGTAGTGTTACGTTTAAGGATCAGGGTTTATTCCTGCATAGAGGATTTTTGTCTTCAAAGGAAAATTATCAGCACCACATGATAAGAATTAAGAATAAAATAATATATATACAGTGCTAAACAAATTTATTAGACCACCACCCAATGTATGGTTTATGCCACAGCTTCCCAAAATTAACAACATAATCACCAAAATAATTCTTTATTGTTTCTGTAATGGTTAATTTATGTAGAAGCTCTTTAACCGCAATGATACTTTTAATACTAAAATATAATTATTATTGTTGTCCATGAATTTTCAATTTACTGTTTTATTGAAAAAAAAAAACAGAAAAAAATAGTAAAGCACATTACTATCTCTTAATTAAGATGTCACATTACAGTTATTTACTTGCATTCCTGAGCAGGAAAATTAGTTTCTGTGGTTGAATGTTGTGCTTGATTCATTTCTGAAGCCCAGTGAGTCGCCTCAAATCTGGGTATAAAAAGGTGAATTCAGTTTGAAACTCCTCATTCCTGTTCAAAATGATAAAAACGTCAAAACCTGAGAGTGCAATAAAGCCCTTCATGACGCTGGATGGTCTTTTTTTAATCACATGGTCAGGAATAACGGGAAAATGCAGAGATGTCTGTCTGATACAGTAAGACAGACTCATTGTCTTGACTGCAGATGGATCGATCATGCTTTCTGTCATGCCTAGTCACCCCCTAAAGGCTCGTTCTGAGCAGGAAAAACGCTGGTGATGATTCACGTTTATTAACTGGCTGCCTGCATGACCGCTCCACCCTGCGATTGGCTGCTCAGCTCAGGCCTCACATCAATATCAAGTTGGCCACTTTCAATTTATATTTGCTGGCCTGCTTCTGGTCAGTGGCTGCTTTCCCTAAACCTGCCCTGCTGACTGTTAAACTATTTATTTACTGGACCTTTTTTTTTTTTAAACTACTGTACTCTTTGTATTACAGAGCCATAGATCCAGCTATTAGTTTTTACTGTTGCAAAATTAATTTGGAATTAACTCTGAAGCACCAAGTATACGATTGATAAAGTTTTAAAGGAGAATTGGGTTTCTTTGCAGTGGGGTTGTAATGAGCAACTTATTTATAGTCAGCTTTACCTAAAGTTGAGAACAGTCCCTCCTCTCCAGCCAGTTTGAAGAAGCAGAGAGGACTGCTGGCAGGGAAGCGAAGTGATGAACTGCTCTGAACAAGACCAGCAGCAAGACATATTTTAGCCACTTGAAAAGAGGTCTTCAACACGTTGTATTGCTCTGGTGGACCAGTGTGCATGACTTTTGTAATCTTATACAGGAATAAAGACGTTTTACAGCTGAGAAAATGTGGTGTCAACATAATCGGCTGTCTGATGACAATGTAAAGCGGTGAGAATATTATTAATACTGCAAACACTTAAACTGATTTTGGTTTTTACATAGACCTCTCTTGAGGTGACTAAAATATGTTTTGCTGCTGCCCCCGTCCACAGTACACCGTCTAGCTTTCCTCCACACTGTGATCTACTGTAGGTAACACACCGACTGTGAATAAGCACCTCATGCAACCCCACTTTAATGAAACCAAACTGTTCTTTTAATGCAATAAAACTACACTGCAAAACTGTGTCCAGGAGCAGATGCAAGGGTTGTTCCACTTTAAAGTGCCAAAAAAATAAAAAAATAAATCCACACGTGTGATTATATAGTAGCTCTGGTGTTGAAATAAGCGTACTGCAGTCTATCATTCAATGCAGGAAGACTGAAAAATCATCCGGTTGTTTAAATTCTGAAAATCTCTCTCTTTAACTGACATATCCAGAGCATGGGGCTCTTTAATTTCCAGAAGTCTACTAAAACACCACCCTATAGTTTCCTCTAATCCATCATTTTTCCACTGAGAGAGAGTTTATTCTTCTCCAACAATGATCAATGGTTTCATATCAGTGAAAACAGACTGGCCTTTCCTTTACATGTCTGTGAAATCTATTAAGCTTTGTCACTGTTGGACGTGTTTACTTCTTGGGACTGCAATGCTAACAGAGATGGTGTAGTGTTTCATGAGGACGTCTGCCTGCCAATACCTTTAACAGCTCAACAGTGTCCACCCATCCTTGAACAAACCCTCTTTCTCCTCAAAACCTTCTTGTCCTTGGCAGAATAATGCATCGTAATCTCGCCGTCTTGTAAAAAAAAAAAAAAAAACACAACAAAGCAGCGACGCAGCTCTTACTGTACTGACAAATACTCTTCACATAACAACTGGAAGGAGATGCTTGATTCTTAATTGAATCATCCTCATTAATATCCAGTGACAGTTGGTTATGCATCAGATAACAACACCTGACTGAGCATCTGAGTCAAACCGCATTAATTCATAAAGAGCCTGTCACACACACACACAGACACTGTGACAACCACATTGGCTGAGAGGAATGTGGCACAGCGCACAGCCAAGAAGAAATGAGGTCACGTTATCCCATCTGGAGGAGAGGACAGAGGCAGGTTAGTACTAAGAGAGGCAGACCCACTCTCTAAATATTTAATGAGTTTCCGCACAGTTGGCCTTTTCCAGCCCTTGCCTTTGCAAAACAATAGCCATTATACTCCCAGTCGGGTTATCATATATGCATGTCGAGCTCCAAAAAGCACATCAAGAATCATAAATTACAAAAAAAAAAAGGTCTTTTATTCTCCAGGCTAAACTGTCATTTATGCCATGTCTCACTCCAACGCTGTGACATGACTGATTTCTAAAGACAACATTAGTTAAAATTTAACAAGATCAAACCCTGATCTCACCCACAGCTCCAGTTCAGATGCATCCTTTATGATTCTACCCATTTCACCGGGACAGCAATGGATGACTTTTAAAAGAGATTTTTCTATTGTTCCATTGTTTCTAGGGTTTCCCACCCATTTCCTCTCGTACCAAAAAAGGTTGCCCTTAATTTAATTCTCCGTTGTGGTCATTTAATCCTCACAAGATTCTTGTCAGTCAGTGGTTTTTGTAACAGGGATGCGTCAGCAGACCCTGACTAATCTTTTATGACAAATCAAGGAATTGTCAGGGGAACCGCGTTAATGGATGAGAAGTCGAGAAGTTACTATTATTATTGCATTGTCTTATATTATAATAAGGTTTAAAGGGCATGGCTGTAAAAGCAAATGAAGATCTGGAAAACGCAGAAGCATACAGTCATGCCAGTGTCTGTACCATCAGTGCTGATATCAGTTTTCAACATTTACGGAAACAGACAATGCAGCGGACAAACTGTGGGTATTGGTCATTATGTGTGACAATGAAGGCAGGATAAAAATGAGAAGGACGCTAAAAATAATAAGACACTGTCACATTTGGGTTTAAGTAATTCAGAAAAGGGACTTTTAGTAAATGCGCTAGTTTAGTTTTGGGGACCTGGTTCCATAGTTCCAGGAACGTCTTATCCAAAAAGAGGCTAAAGTTAGCGGCTAAATGGTGGATACGGTGGAGCATTTGATCTCAGACTCACTGTTTACAGGCTCCAATTTAGCATATAGCATTTTTATTCACTGCAGCTTTTGCAGGTAACATTTTCTGGTAAAACTCTTTTGATCAAACTCTACTGATGAACGATTTGGGAAAAATATTTAATTGCAATTTGTTTTGGTTTGTTTTACAGATATACTGTGATTTGATTTGTGATTATTGTCGTGACTGCAACAAAAGGAGGAGGGCATGAACTTGTAAAACCATCAACATAACAGTCCAAACCCTTGTCAGGCACACTGCAGAACGGACGTCCTCAATTGGAGTCTTAGTTATTTGCTAATTGCCCAAATCATGATTTCGTCTTCACATCGATTAATTGCTTACCCCTATTAAGAGGCCGACATTTACCTCAGGAATGGGAGTTCAAAAACACAGGTAAAAACAAGTGTGAATACAGGAGCGACGATGGCTGGGCATCCAGAAAGCCCGCTCTGAATGAATGCTGATGTTGCTCTGTGTCTGCTGCATGTGTAAATAACCAACTGTTTGCTAACAAATTCACCATGTCAGCTTAATAAGGCAAAACGGTAGTGCTGTGTTCACAGCTTGTTTCCACTGTCCCAGATGACCAAAAAAATTACTGCACATTTAAAATAGAGGACTATTTGTCACAGCGACTACAACGTCTATATTTGAAGAAACACTTAGTTATTCACTGTGTTCCTAGAAACATGTTCCAACACAGCCAGACCCTGGCAGTGCAGACACCCTGAATAAAATGGAATTTAAGTTACTATTAGCTCATTCAGAACTGGACATCAGACGTGCACATTCAGACCACTGCAGACAGGCGAATAGTGGGAGCTGATGCATAGTGTCGCCTGGTTAATGGTTGTTTCTTTATTTCTAAAAGTATCATATATCACTACTGATGCTCTTTTGCGTGCACATTATCATCTGCTCTGCCACAGAATGGGACGGGTGCACCTACCCATCCATAATTCGAACAAAGTAACTGCATACAGTGGATAAAGACGTAGTGCCAAGCAGTGGCAGTGTATAAAAATGCAGGCCTTATGCTCTTATTCAATTTGGGGAGTCAACCAACAAACAGAATGTTAAGTCTGAGTTCTCCCGGCCCGGTAATAACCAGAAAAAAAGATCAACTGCATCTGTTTTGTGGGTTTTTAAAAGGAGCTTTACTCCCTTCATTTGAAATTGCACCTCTGGTAAGTCTATTTTCAGCCAAGGTCACTGTTCAGCACACTTTCTCTGCACGTAGGCGTTCATGCTTTGACCCAGCTTAATATCAATCTGCAACCTGAGTTGAGTAATCACTTGTTGTGGAAATGATGCAATCTCTGGGCTGATCTTCAAAAACAGTCAAATCATTATCATGCAGTCACACGAAAACACCACGAGGAGCGGCAAACGGCAGCGTGACCTTACCTGTAGTGCCCAGAGTTTTGTAGAACCGGTACTCTAGATGCAGCTGTGGGGCCCTCGACTTCACTGGTTCCTGCACAGAGAACACATCCGACCCAGTTAAAGATCCACAAGAAATAAACCAGTGAAAAGAAGGAAAAAAAGACTAAAACTGAATCAGCAAAGAAAAATACTGAAGACAATACAAGAAATGTAACGTTCTGATGACTCATCTCGCATGTACAAACATGTCATCCAATCAAGTAAAGGTCATTCCCCAAAGTTACACTACACCCAAACATAACAATAAGTGTGGGAAAGGTGTTAAACAGGAAAAAAAATGTTGATAAGAATGTTTAAGGGAAAATCCAAAGCGGTTTGTTGTGAGTCCTAATTCTGAACTTCCTCCCCAGTTCTTTGATGGGGTTTTGAAACTCAACACATTCTTCACTTCAAGTGTCAGCACACCAACAGCAGAGAGAGAGAGAGAGAGAGGCTGAAGACTGTTTGGCTTGGTGAGCTTTATACTTTGAAACTGTAGCAAATTACAACTCTCTAGTGAGCAATAATAAGGGCATGAGTCAGGAGCCACGATTTCCAGTCCAGCAGCCACTGGAAAGACACGCCTAGCAGCATCTACACCTCATCCACATGTTCTATGTGACTGTGCTTTCACCAGAACAGTCACGTAGAACAAACCACCTGACTCAGGAAGCTGATGTGGCGCCTGCATAATGTCACGCCATATCTCTGAAACTCAACTGCAAACGGCTGTGAAAAACATGCAGTTTATGTCTAATTACAGCTTAATTACAGTCAAAAAAATTCTCATCTTAAATGTTAAATGCAGTAATTACAAAATGACAGCATATTTTCTGTCTGAACACAACATCAGCATTATATTGATAACATTTTAGTCATATCTTTAAAATGAAGGACAGAAGAAATACTAACATCCATGTTCCCCTCTTCTTATGTGCTTTTTTGGATTCTCATCATTACTACCCATTTTATTCAAACAATGACAGTAAAACAAGAATCTTCACCCATAATATCGATTCTGATTAAAAATGACTGCACTGCTATGCATAACACCAATTATACATAATAATTAGGTGCTTTAAAGCTAATAAGTAAAGCCATAAAATCGATTCTGAAATCATCTGCAGGGGTGAGGAGTCAAGCAGAGAAAGAAAGAAAGCGCACACTTACCAGTTTAATGGCTACATACTCGTTTGTGTAGAGATTTTTACCTGAAATAAAGCAGGAAAGTAAAAGCATACATTAGAGGCTTTAAAACATAAAGTACACCACTTAAGGCTTCACAACAGGTTCACTGGGGAATAAGCAACTCTGTAAGTGATGAAAAGAGTTCTTGAATTTACATTTCCTGCAAAGTTGGCAGCATCTATATCTAGAAAGGTCCATAAGAGAAAATGTGCACCTTATAAACTCGCAACCGAGTGTCGCTACAGATCAATACTTCGCTTCAATGTCAATTATTCTGTGTCGTGACCCACTTTCAGGCTCAACTTACCAAGCTTCAATTCACCAAAGTTTCCACAGCCGATCTTTTTGCCCACACGAAAGTTGGGCCCCACCATGAGAACGCCGGAGGAGCTGGAGGATCCAGACGGCCGGGACGAGTGTCCGCTTCGGCTTCCCTGGGAAACTTTAGTGCTCCTCGCCGGCCGCTCGCCATATTTGTCTCTTTGTTGATCCATGGTGTGAGCAGCGCAGGTCAGCGGGAGCCTGGAGTGATGTACGAAAAGGCCTCCTGGGCCGGGCCCGCCACAGCCACAGCCCTGGTCACTGGCGGCGTCTGGATGGCACAGTCACTCTCATGAGACAAAACCTGGTGCAGTTAACCGACACTCCTCCTCTTCCTCACCCTGTCACCTCTAACAGTAGTTACACCTCAACATCTGTCCAGGAAGGAGACGTTGGAAGACCTGTGAAAACGCAACACATGACGAGAGATAAGGTGTTAACTTTCTATAGAAAACACAAGTGATAAAGACCTACTAAAATCCCTTTGGATATATTGGATTTAGGAACACAACTACAACATGGACACTGATGCTTTTCCTTAACAAAAACCTGAAACCATCAACATATCTAACTAACCTTAAAAAACACAAACCATAAAATGATGACTTTCAAAGCAACATCAAAATTCCAGTTCTGTTTGAAAAGATCTAGTCTTACTGTACTCATGTCAGCACTGAAAAAGCTTCATTTCTTAACTCTTATAAGAGGTTTCTAAAGC